GGGTGACTGCTATCCTAAAATGGAAAAATAACTCAAACACAGTCATCCAACATGGGGGAATATGGACAGGCAAACAGCTCAGAGCATGCTGGGATTGGGAGGGAAATTACTCCTTAGTTTAACCTTTCTCCTACTCCAGCTTCCCTAGGCCGGGGCTTGTGTGAGGTGGGATTAATAGCATTATTGATCTATAGACCTATAGTGTCCAAGGATACTGTGACAGTGAGGAGGAAGAACGGGGGCGGGGGGGTAATGTGGAGGAGGGAGAAAGAATTACTTTGAGAAAGTACTTTAGTGCAACAGTTATTGGTGGACCCCCTGACACTGGCTTTCTACTGAGCACTGATTATTCAGTATTAATTAAGAAAAACTTGTTTCTCTGAAGAAGCAATGCTTTCTATAACCCACGAAGAGAGAGACCAGGATAAACTTCCTTGAGGAAATGATCACTAGCATGATGCATAGATGCAGGTGAAAACCTGCAGAGCCATAGGCAGTTGCTAATTTGCTAAATCAATTCAATTCCATAAATACACAGTGAAGGCCTGTGTTTGATTTAGAAATTATATTCTTTGTCTTTTCTGTATTGCACACTAATTGTATTAAAGTTCACTTCCATTAAAGGTCTTATATGTTTTATCTTGATGTGGCAGATGACAGAACCCATTTAAAGCAGTCAGGTTTGGGGGTTCAGTGGTGCCCCCCCACCCTGTAACAGATTTAGTTTTTCTTAGCATCCAGGCATACATTTGCTAATTTAACAGCATTGCCAAATTGTTGGCTTTCAAAACCTCTCAGGCAGACATCAGGAAGTCCCCAAAGTCAAAACAACCTGACACAGAAAAACCACTATTGTCTTTAGAAATGCTTAAGATACCTGTAAAATAGCAGAGATCACACACAAAAAAAGTCCAAAGTCCTAGCAACTTAACTTTAATTAACAAAGAAAGTGGAAAGTTTTAGGAAGAGACTAAAAGAATAAAACTTCCAAGGTTCAGAGAAACCAGGCAAGTGGCCTCAGATGCCATCTTTGATCTGGTTACATGGTCCAAGCTACTACCATCTTGTGAGTAAAACTGCTACACAATTTTCACAAAATCAAACCTCTTAGCAAGTGAGTACAACCAAATTGTACACATACACACAGAGTTCTCACAAGGGCCAAGTCAGATTTCAACAACAAATCCACATCTGGAAAAAAAAAAAAAGAAAACCACATTTGCGCTGATGGTCGTCAGTGCCATGAGAAGCCAACTTCCCCTTCCCCCATGGGGCTGACTAACCACTGATGACTAATCCTACCACGCTGGGTGCCAACTGTTACAGGGTAGGGAGAGAAGCACCACTGAACCCCCAAATCTGCCTGCTTTAAATAGGTTCTGCCATCCGCCACATCGAGACAAAACATATACAACCTTTAATGGAAACAAACTTTAATACAATGACTTTAATACAATGCAATACAGAAAAGACAATATAATTTCTAAATCAAACACCCAAAGTTACCCATCCCCTTGTGGATAAAAGTCTACCCAAAAGGGATTGGCCCAAAGCCAATTTAGGACATTTAGAACTCACTTCCCACTGAAGCTGAAGTTACTGGGCCCACATCTTTGAGTACTCATAGAGGTGAAAAATCTAAGCTCTCAATACATGGTCAATAACTGGCCTCTCTGAATCCTGGCTCCGCCCCTTAGTCTTGGCTTTTGATCAAATCATTTGTCTTTATGTGTTTCGTCTTATCTGTGAAATTAGGATAATAAACTAATAAAATTAATCGCTTAAAACAATACTTGCACAGTGTTCAATAAATGATGGCTCTTATTATCTGTTCACTTTCTGGAGGAAGTGGGACACAAAAACAGAGGTCCAAATGGCCAGAGAAGAGCATGCACTAAGACCATCTTTTGCGCAGCCAGGCGGGCTCAAGATCTGAGGACCAGCCCTATCGCTCACTGGTGACAAGGTGGCACCCTAAGCCGCGTCGGGTTTCGAACCCCCCACGGCCCTCTAGCAGCGGGCTCAGCGCTGCAGACAGCCGCCTTTCTACGGCCCGCAGCCGCAGCGCAGGCGCAGATCTCGCTGTGCCACGCTTGACGCACATGCGTACTCCGGAGTGCCGGTGGGGGCGCGCCCGCTGTGTAAAAAATGGCGGCTGCAATACTGTTGGCGGCGGCTGGAGTCAGGCTCGGCGTGGTTGCGAGCGGCTTCCGCTCCGCAGCCCGCAGTCTGTGCAGCCAGCCCGTTTCTGTTAACGAGCGCATCGAGAAGAAGCGCCGCGCCGCGCTGCTCGGGGGAGGCCAGCGCCGCATCGATGCGCAGCATAAGCGAGTGAGTTCAAAGGGGACCCAGCCAGCCCACCCAGCGCTCGCGACCTATCACAGCGCGCCGGGCGAGGGGCGCTCGAGGCCTCCCAGCCAATCCGCGCCTTGCGTGTGGGGGTGGGGCGAGGGTGTTCACCTTGAGAACCTGTTGCGTTTGGGCTGGAGGCCGAGCACATCAGGATAACCACTTTTGTGTATTTTTACCCTCAGCTTCCCAATTAGTATTTTAGAAGGACTTGACTGGGCTTCAGCCGACTTGACAGCTATAAACTTTTGGACGACTGACTTATAAATAAAGGATAGTAATAGTTTCCCCCTTACATTCTTACTAGAGGTAGTGAAGCATTTAATGGGGAAAAAATTGTTTTCCTCAATCCCCATGGAAGAGTGGTGGAAATTATAACACCACTATGGAAGCAGGGAGCTCTAAGCATGTGGCATGGGGGAACTCTCACATTAACTAGGGCGGAATAGGGTGTGTGATAGATAGGTGCAGGGAACTTGGGGGCTCTCTACCCCTAGAACACCAGCTGAATGCCTTTAGGATTTCAGCGTGCGGTGGACTTCCTGGGTAGGAAGATTCGCAGTGATAGTGGGTGATTTGTGGGAGTGTGCAGGATACTTTACTTGTTTGACTTGAATGAGCAGCTGAGGCCCTGCTCATTTGCCTACAGCCCTGATTTTTGAGGCGAGAATCACAGTTGTCCTTGGAGAAAGACAGGTTGGGCCACTTATCAGCAAAAGAAGCTGATACCTAGATAGGCTTGCTCAGTGAATTCTTGGCAACTGTGTGAGTCTGGGATAGGTTAAACAGTCTTGCTGGAAGGGGCGGAGTGAAGTTAGAAGTGAAGGGGGTGGGGAGGGGAGTGACTCCGTGGCTGAAGGCTGGGGTCTTGGGTGAAGAGATTTGAACTAGCTCTTTTAGTCTAAACTGGGTGTTGATTCAGACTTTGTAAATGCCCTATGGCAAGAGTCTTGCAGGGTAAATGAGTTAAAAATCAGGCATCTATAAGGGCACCTGTGGCCTTGCAAGCCCACCTGAAATTAGGGACACCTGGGCCCAGAGAGCATGGGGCATGCACATTGTAAATGGAGACACATGTGGCAAGGGGACATAAGGGCAGCATCCCTGAGGGCAGACAGGGCAGCTAGAGCAATACCAAGAGAATGCTGGAATGCTGGGCCGTCCCCTGATTCAGCACTAAAGGCTTGTAAAAATCTCCGGAAGGCTCCAAGTTATCTTTTCATCTGCGAAAACTGAAGATGAATCTACCTAGCCTGGGACGGTTGCAAAACAGGCAGGAAAGTAACAATTCCTCTGTGACTCAGGGGAATGAGCTGTAAGTCTGGCTGATAGTGCTTTCCCATTCTCTGCTGGGATGGTTCTGTCTGGGTTGCAGGAAACTTTAGAAGCCTTTGGAAAAGCTTGTCATTGCCTCAGTTGCACTCTTTCTCTTGGGGTCCCTTTCTCAATTCTTCCCTGGAACATCATCCCTCCCGTTCCTGGGACCGATGGTAATAAATTTAGATGCAGCTTCCTCAAGCTGTTTTTCTTTTGCCGAAACTGACTTAGGATGTGATTTAAATCCCCTTCCCTATCCCTTTAAAAACATGTTTTGGACAACCCCAAATCATAAATTCTCAGAAATGGAATTGCAGGGTTAAAAGATATGGTTATTGTTAAAACTGATCTTTATATTGTTTATTTGCTTTCCTGAAAACTCATTCTACTTGACATAAAAGTATAGTAATGCTGGTGTGTGCTGTTAATTTAGTCCTTGAACCACCACTGGTTCTTGTCCTGAGAAGCCATAAAAAGGAATTTGCAGGCTTTTTAGGTAAGTATGCAGAGAAGTAAACATTATTCAAGAAGCTAAAGGAAAGTTTATTTAGAGGAAAAAGAATAAGCAAAGACCCCAAGACAGTGATGCCAATTGGGGGGAGTGGCATGGGCGGGTGCAATAGACACTGTATGGGCCCGTGTCTAGGGAATATTTAAACTTTTTCTTTTTATTCTAAAATCTCACCATTCTATTTTATGACTAGCTCTTTCTCCTAATGGCTCTCCTTCTCCGACAGGTATGCTCATTTATCCCAGTTCTTAAAATTTCTTTTTACCTCTCCTATCTAAGTTCTCTAAAAATTTACTGTCCCAATTAGCCTTAAATTTTAGCCTTAAATATGGCTGTCCTCATTAGCCCTCCTGAATTTCTCTGCCTTCATCTGAAGGCCCGTATCTCTGCCCTTATGTTTAAGTCTCTGGAAGTCCTTGTCAGCAGTGTCTCTGAAGCTACCTAATTAACCCTAACTTGCCCTGGGACTCAATGTGATTACTTGTTTGTTTGAACACAGCCTTACTGACTTAGGCTACTTTTCGAAGTATGGCCTAATTTGAGGTGTTTTGTCTTGATTGTTTTTTTGGGGCAGGGGAAATTGGGGTACAGTGTACTAGGACATTTGGCTAGGGTGAAGGTGACAGTGGAGCCTTCAAGAGCATTGGAGGCTCTTGATAGGTTGAAGGTTCCAACCTCATTGCCTTCAAGATGTATTTTTGTTGTTGTTGGTTTACTCGTGAGTTCTGTAGCTCTCTGTCACATGCTTATTCAACCACTCACTCTTTGTTGGAGAGTTTTTGTACTACAGTATCTTTTTTTTAGTATGGGAGCCTTAAGCAAGTTCCAATGTAGAACAATCGGAAATGACTCTGGACAAGGCAGGAGAGCCAAGCAGTAGTCCTAGAAGTGTTCTTGGGGCTAGACCATAGTGAAATGAGCACCTGTGGGGCTCCCAGAATAAGCCTGTAACCTGGTATAGCCTCACTTGCCATTTATCCAGCTTCAGTTTTTTTACATCCTGCTTTTTCATTACTATTTGGGTGTCCAGTAAATGTGTCTGGATGTTCTAAGATCAGACTCTCCATCCACTTTTCCTCACTACTTTTTTCTCTGATTCCCTTACTTGCCCTTCACAGTTATACTTATGTTCCCTCACCCCACTTCTGCCCTGATTTCTCTGTTGACTGAAATCTTTTTCTTGGACAGTTTGATGGAATAGAGGTTTTTACATGGCATGAAGGGACAAAATTCCCGGGTTCTCCCAGGAGCATTCCTTCCTTGTCAACTTTGTCTCTACTGCAGTCAATGAGTGCTTTCTATTGCATTCTAGGGAAAGCTAACTGCCAGAGAGAGGATCAGTCTCTTGCTGGACCCTGGAAGCTTTGTTGAGAGCGACATGTTTGTGGAACACAGATGTGCTGATTTTGGAATGGCTGCTGATAAGAATAAGGTATTTGCTCACAAAGGTGATATGGGCCTCCAAGGTACACTCCTAAGACTTGATCTGTCCTCTAGATTAATGAAAGTAGTTCAGGATAGGGGGCTTGGTGTTACAGGAGTGCCTCTGTTCGAGAAGCTCTACCAAGGTGTCTTGGTTTCCCACTTACCTTTGTTTGCAGATGAAGGATTGTTCATTGCTTGTGCACAGTGACTCTGGCCCAGTCCCCAGAGTTCTGGGTGTAGGTTCAGGTCATACATAGTCACCAATACTTCTTTCAACTGATCTTCATGGGTGCAGGTGCAGAGTTCCTCAAACGCAGAGTCAGTTTTCACCAGGTGTGCATATATGCTCTTTGTGACCAAATTTGTTAAACTTGGCATCAAATCAGTTGGCTCCATCTGAGCCATAGTGGACCTACAGTGACTACTAGAATTCCAAAGAAAATGGTGGGTTGCCTTTTTACGTTTTGGGGGGAAGGGGTGTGGCTTTGAAGAGCCATGTTTCTTCATCCTCTGCCTTCCCATGAGCATTTGTTAGTGGTCATACTAAAAAGGCTCTTGGTTATTCTGCTTTTCAGAAGGACTTTGTGGCCTACAACAGCAGCCCTTTGTGCCTTTGAAACACTAGCCCAGTGCTTGCTGTTGCAGAGCTTAGGCAAGGGAAAGAGAAATTCCTTCACTGAACATATAAGAATTTTGGGGGCTTTATTTTGGGGATTAGTTCACTGTGGGATTCTTGCCAAATCGTTAAATGAAATATTTGAGATTTTTAACTTTTTTTTTTTCTGTTTCTCTGGTAGTTTCCTGGAGACAGTGTGGTCACTGGCAGGGGCCGAATCAATGGAAGATTGGTTTATGTCTTCAGTCAGGTATTTCATAATTTCAGTGTGGTGAGCTTTCCTTGAGGGTAGAGTCAGTCAAAAAATATGTGAGAAATTAACAGTCTTGGGAATTGAATACTTGACTATAGTCTGGGGCAGATGAGAAATTTACTTTGATTTTCATTGCATATGCTTATGTGCAGAGTATTATGTATTTTTTCTTAGGGAGAAAGAATTCTTAGTCTGCCTAGGGGAGGATCACAGGGTAATCATCATGTGAGAAGCAGCAGGAACCAGGAGTTTATTCCAAGTGAGTGAGATTCCTGTTAGCAGGTTGGTGTGTGCCAGCAGGGGTCTGGACTCTCAGAACCACAGACCCTGAGTTCTGGGCTTTCATGAACATGTTTAAGCACGTTTTATCAGGCTGTATCAAGACAGTTTCTTCACATTGACTCCATGGGAACATGTAGTCATCAGGGTATCAGCCACTACAGGTGTCCAAGTGCTCACTCCAGAACAATTGAATGTCAGCCTTTCATGGCAAAGGGGAATTAAACTTGCAGATGGAATTAAGGTTGCCAATCAACTGGCCTTAAAATAGAGTGGCCTGGATTATTCAGGTGAGCCCAATGTAATTACAAAGCTCCTTGAAAATGGAAGAGAGACAGGAGAAGTCAGAGTGAAGTCCAACCTGCTGTTGCTGGTATAGAAAATGGAGAAAGGTTGTGAGCAGAGGGATAGAAGTTGTCTCTAGATTATTCTGGAAAAAGCAAAAAACAAAAACAAAAACATATCTTCCTGGAGCCTCCAGAAAGGAGCAGAGCCCAGCTAACCTTGATTTGAGCTCAGTGAGATCCATGTATTGGCAAAGTAATAATTTGTAGTGTTTCTTGGGCTATAGAATTTGTGGCAATTTGTTACAGCAGCAGAAAACTAGCACAAGGTACATGCTTTATACTATTATGGGTTAGATTTCTACCACTTCCCCCCTAGAGGTGGAAATATGTGTATAATCCTAATTACTTCTTTTTCAGACTTAGTTATATGGCTTGCTTAACCAAAACAAAATGTTTTTATGGGTTTGATATTAGAATATGGTTGGTTGATTTAAAATTTATTGTATTTAGATAGTACCTGTTTGCTAATGAATTACCTTTGAAGTGTTTTTAAAACAGCTATAAGTAGGTTTACCAAATGCTTAACTAGAAAGAATCATCCCTTTATGATAGCAAGGCAAAAACTGGTATGGAGGGAGTGGTTTTTAAGATAGCTAGAACAAAGAAAGTTACTGTGTTTTCTGGACACAGTATTGTAACTATGAAGCAAATAAAGAATTCTTTGAATTGATACTTTTGATCTCTTATGCCCTATGGGTGACATAAGACTAAGGGGGAGGGGGGCATTTGAAGAATTTAAACTCTTGCTGGGAAGAAGCCAAGCATTGTGTAGATGAGGCAGACAAGGAATGACTCCAGTATAGATAGGGTGAGAGAGGTTCTTGGCAAGTGCTGTGGGCTTAGGACCAGGGAACGTCACATCCAGGACTGAGGAAAACTTGAGGAAAATGGGAACATCCCAAAGGATCCTGAGGTTGGGGAGGGATGAACCAGCTTTTTTTGCAGTGATCCCCAAAATGCCTACCAATATTAGCATTGGAAGGAACGTTTGTTTTTCCAACAAAGCAGCCTCAGTCTCTTGCCTAATAATTGACTGTAGGTGTTTCCTGGGCCAAGGGAGCAGATAGAAAGAGCTGCTGGCACTGGCTCTCAGTGGGCCCCTTGTCCCACCTGTTTTCAGCCTCACCTTTGCCTTCTTTGGGATTGGTGACTAACTTCTAGTCAAGTTTCTTTAGAGACTAAGCTTACTTTCTCCTTCCAAGGGCAAGGAGAGGTCCTCTAGATCTACGGCTCCTAACACAGACTGTATATCAATCTGTTTTTCACCCCTCTGAAGAAGGGTGAGCCTCCCTTTTTCTGTGGTTCTTCCTTCTGCAGGTAAATAGGCTTCCATTTGATCCAAGTCAGGTATTCTTGCGATTTCAGTTTCTGTCAAATTTGTTTAAATTCCCTTCTGCTGTTTCACTTGCTTTTTTTGTCTTCATGAGCTGAACATGACTTTAATTCCCTACACCTTGTGGGATTTTAGGAAAGTCATTCTTATAAGAGGCTGTTTACATCAGAAGTGAAGAAAGTCTGGAAGCAGTGATGACTCTGACTCATTTTTTTAAACAGCAAATGTTTCCTAGTAGTAGACGTGCCTGATTGTTTTATTGTATAGCTACATAATCTGATTTTCGATGGAATGACTGACTTGCAAAGCAGGCCTTTTTCTGCTTTTTTAAACTTTTGAAAAAGCCTTTAAAGACTATAAATTTTTCCTTCTCTATGGGTGCTTCATTTCTGACTAGTCACTATTTTATCTGTTGATCTAATTGTTTTCTTTTTAGGATTTTACAGTTTTTGGAGGCAGTCTGTCAGGGGCACATGCCCAAAAAATCTGCAAAGTGAGTATTTAATATTAAATGTTAACTCAGTACTTTCAACAGTCATGTAGTACATTCTGAGTATTGTTGGGGTATAAGACACAGAGCTGGGTATATGGGGTAGGACAGAGGTGTGTAAGATGTGATGCTAATTGGAATCTTCCCTCAGTCCAGGGAGGAGTTCTTAACATTTTTTTGTCCATGGGTCCCTTTGGTAAGCTGATGAAGACTGAACCCTCATTTTTAAAACCACATTAAAAAAAATGTAGTGAGAAAAGATTATAATTTTTTTTTTTTTAAATCACATTTGGGGCCTGCCTGGTGGCACAAGGGGTTAAGTCGCAGCACTATCAAGCTGTAGCCTACCTCTGCAACATGAGTTCAATCCCTGCAGGGAGCTGACCCACATGGCGCAGCAGACCTCTCCTGTCTTGCCTGTTGCTCCCTCAGCAGTGTATTTCAGTCAGCCTGCCTGTTCTGCTCCCCACTCTGTCTCTGGTGAATTCTCTCACCCTCTCCCAATACCTCTGGCCTACACCCTAGTTCTGATATGCATAAATAAATTTTAAAAATTAAAAAAATCACAATTGTAATGTATTTGCTTTATTAATACAATACACTTAATGGCAAGATTTTACAGTAGAGTTAACTATGGTAATTTCAGAATAAGCATGAGTGAAAAGATTTCCATATATCTGCATCAACTTTAATGTGACATAAAACTACCCATGGCTTGTTAGTGACAAAGACACATATTTTTCTAGCAGTGGAGTTTTTTTTTGTATTCATAATTTAAGGAAATGTCAAATATCACCTGGAGTTAATAAAAGTGTAAATTTTTCCCATTCAAGTTCGTGGACCTCGCTGACATCTGTTTACAAACTCGAGGTTCTGAGGACTCCAGGTAAAGAATCTAGGATTGTGTGTTGGAGAATTCAGGTGCTAAAATATAAAGATCAGTGCAAAAATTACATGATAGTATTGTAAAAACTTCTTGAGGCTAACTGTTCTGGAAATTAGTAAGTGCAAGCAACATTTGCATTTGGTGGATTTTGAAACTAAAGGTAGAATTGACAGCTGTTAGTAGGTCAGTACTCGCTCTGTATGGAACACCTGGATTCTAGACATGACATCACTTTAAACCTTTATAATTTTTCTGCCTTTACTACCTCTGTTATGATGGTTAAATGAAATAATGGAAGTGAAAGGGATTTGTAAGCTGTCAAGGGCTATTAGAAATGTTTTGCACCAGGAACACTTTTCATGAGGAAAATCTGTTTCATTACAAAGAAGTAAAAGTGAGTCTGGGCTGGGCCTCAGGTTAAAAGATAGGTCCATGTTTCTTTTCTTGAAAATATTACTTTGCTATCCTGTCTACTATTAGGCCTTTTGAAAGAATAACAGGAATAAAACCAGCTCTTGAAAAATACTACAGCCTGGGCCTGCAGTTTTAGAAATGATTGCTATGAGCGTTTTATCCCCTAATGGCAAATGCTTTGGCTCTTGGATGTTTGGGGATATTTAATCAATCTTTCAAGTATATGTTCCCTGTCCTTCATGAAGGAACCCAATCAACTTGGGGAATGAAGCCAGTGTTACTCAGGACTATTTTGAATAGTGCATTCAGTACATTTTCCAGAAAACACCTTGGTGCTTTGTAAATGCTGTTTTTATTAACAGGATTAGTTGTCTTACATGAGATTTCTCTGCTCTCGTAGATCATGGACCAGGCCATGACCGTGGGCGCTCCAGTGATTGGACTGAATGACTCTGGGGGTGCACGTATTCAAGAAGGCGTGGAGTCCCTGGCTGGCTATGCAGACATCTTTCTGGTGAGAAATGTATTCAAAAAGCACAGAATGAAAAATACAGGGTTTCGAAGCTGTCTCCTGGTCAGAGCTGCCCCAGTGCCCCCTTGTGTTTGCTCTGTTGCTCTTATCTATGTCACCAGAGTTGATAGGGTAGATGAGAAACAGTAGGTAGGAGGGCTTTCTTATCTCATAAAGGGCCTCTCATAGGGGAAAACAACATTAAACGTCATTCACAAGGGAAATCATTTACATATTTTTTCCAAAAGCAAGGGATAGGAATATAAAAAAAATTGAATAACTGGTTTACTAAAATTAGGAATTTTAAAAAATAAAATGCTTTTTAAATTTTTTTTTTTAGTTAAAATGTTACAGGATCATTGTACAAAGTTAAAGCAGTAATTAACAAAGGGGTCACTGCAAATCCTACCTTTGATGGCCATCATTTCAGAGCTTTCTGCTTGCTTACAGACTAAAATTAAAAAGAGATGATAAAAACAAAAGTGCATTATTTGTGAGAGATTTAATATGGGAGATTAGGGTGAGGGAAACTGGAGAAAAAAGATTAACATTTCTAAGGAGGGTAAGAGGAGAGACAGGCAGACATTGTTTTTAATCAGGCCAGCTGTTCTTGTCAGCCTCTGACCTGCTGACTTAGGAAGATTTTTATCCTTGGCTATTGCCCTTTGTGATCAGTCAGAAATGTGTGTGTTTGTTTTGTGTAAGGTCATCTGCTAGTTGTGGGAGTACTTACTTTAGTTGAGAAGCCACTTTGTAGAAATTAAACCCACTTTTATGTTCGAGCTCCAGGTATAATACATTGGGGAGAGTTAGTTTTAGGGTAGCTTGGCCAAAACTGTTTGGGCCTGAAAGTCATCTTTCAATTCTACGCCCCTGGCATGCCCCTATTATAAACAAAGGAAAGGAAGAATGACCCTAAAGAAGTGGCAGCAAGCCACTACATTTTAAAGCCTGTCACATTTTAGTACGTCTAATCTAACACATGGTCTAGGCTGGGGGTGTTGGGTTTTGTTTTCAAGGGATATAGACTTAGGGACTTTAAGATCTACATTGGTTATTTAATTGTGAATTATTACTGCTTGCTGTATCTTCAGTTCTACCCACTTCATGCCTGCATCGTTATTTTTGTTGCTTTTTTTTTTATTTTTTAAAAGATTTATTTATTTATGCATACAGAACAGGCCAGAGGTGTGTGTGTGGGGGGTGGTGTGGTGGAGGAAGGTGGGGGCAGGGGTGAGAGGATTCACCAGAGACAGAATGGAGAGTGAACAGGTAGATACACAAAGTACACTGCTGAGGGAAGCAGTGGGCGGGTCAGGAGAGGTCTGCTGTGCCATGTGGGTTCCCTTTCTGGCCCGGGATTGATAGAATTTTAGACTTCATAGAAAAATTACATATAGGACAAAGATTCCATGTATATCCTTTACCAAGCTGTTTACATTTTGCTTATTTGCTGTGTCATTATCTTTCCATATACTCCTCTTTTGCACATTATATTTTTCTGAGCATTTGAAAATAGAGACAGAATACCTCCTTTTAATGTCTTAAATTCGTTATGTTTTCTAAATACAATGGATATTCTAACTCTTATAACCAGGCAACAATAATGAAAATCAGAAAACTTAGCATTGATTTATTAATATTATTCATGGTCCCTATTCAGAGTATGTTCAATAATCCTGAAAGACTCCATCTTTTTCCTCCTCCACAGGCCAGGATTCAATCCAGGAATAGCTGCTTTTTGTTATCATAGTTTTTTAGTCTCTTTTAATCTGGAGCAATTTCTCAGTTTTTCTGTCTTCTATGACCTTAACTTTTAAAAAATTACTTTTTTGCAGTATTATGAAAAATGATAAAATTCCCTGCATTGTGAGCATATAAGACAATAATTTTTAATAAACATAAAAGTTGTGCAGCTGTTACATACTTTCTTTTCATGAAAACATTGATAGTCTGTCTACTATTAGGCCTGTGCATAAGAGGTCCATTCCTTTTTGATGCTAAAAAATTCTCTTTAACCCCTGGTGACCCAGTGGGTTAAAGCACAGC